CATTCAGCTCCTGTTTTTGTTGCTCGTCAGTGCACTGGATAATCTTTTGTTTCACTGTCCTTCTCTCTTCTATTAGTTTCCAAGTGTCCGTAGTGAGCCACTGTTTGTCCTGTCTCTTTTTTCTGCCTAGAATTTCTATGCAGGTTTGGCTCCACACCGTTTTCAAGTTGTTCCAGTGCTTTTCGACGCTGACCTTTTCGCTGGTGTTGATTTGTATCTCGGCTTTGTCCTTTATGCTTGCAATGAAGATGTCCTTTGTAGCCTGGTCCTTCAGCTTTTGAGTGTTGAACTTGGCTTGTGGTCTATCTGCAGCTCCTGATTCCCTGAAAGCTTTTAATTTGATTTGGATTGTCCCTTGTACGAGATAGTGGTCTGAGCCAACGTCTGCTCCTCTTCTTGCTTTTGTGTCCAGTAGGCTGCGCCTCCACTTCCTTGAGATTGAGATGAAGTCGATTTGGTTTTTGGTTTGCCCGTCTGGTGACACCCATGTAGCCTTGTGGATATCTTTGTGCTTGTATACACTGCCACCAATCACTAGTTCGTTGAAGGCGCAGAAGTCGGCGAAGAGTTCTCCGTTTTCATTCATTTCTCCGAGAGCTTCTCTACCCATGATGAGTTCCCTTCCTGTGTTGTCTGGTCCCAGTTTGGCGTTCATGTCTCCCATTAGTATTTTCATGTCGCCAGCTGGAGTATTGTCCATTGTTGCCTGTAGAATTCTGGGAGGAATTAACATCCACTAGCTTGCATAAGTGTTTCAACAGGGCGGGTATGCTGCTCATCAGTCCGCTCCGTCCTCCTTTATGGCTGTGAGACCTGGCCATTGAGAGCGGAAGACATGAAAAGATTAGCTGTCTTTGATCATAGGTGCCTGCGTTCTATCTCCCGTGTAAAGTGGCATAATAAGGTGACCAATATTGAGGTTAGGCATCGGTCGAGTGCTAGGTAAATAGGGGAAACCAATCGACGAGGCGGTTGTGAAGTTACAAAGACTGAGATGGTTAGGACATGTGTTGGGTATGCCAAGTCATCGCCTTCCTCGACGAGCAATGTTAGCGGATATAGAGTCAGGCTGGAAAAAAGCTAGCGGTGGTCAAACCAAAACATGGCACCAGTCAATGAAATTCACAACAGTTAGTTTAAGCCAGCCACGTAGGAAGGTGTAAACTGCCTGGCTGGTTGGGATCCTCGGGATGGTAAAAACCAATGATTGGAGACAATCAGTGATCTGGCTTAAACTCATCGTTCTCAGTGGCGCAGATGCATCCATTCATTGTGACTTATAATTTGGAATGAAACTGTATTATCCTTAGTTATTACTATTCCTTTTGTCTCATATCCCTGTCTGTTGTCTTTATTTTGCATTTCTACTTTCTTCTCTTGCTTTGTGTGCAGCACGGAGTGTGGCAACTTGAACTGCTGCACATCGGTGTAAGGTTCTGTATTGAAAACAGACAGACTCAGTGCTCTTTCCAGCGATCCAGTCGTCTATCCTGTGAGCTAATTATGGCGCCATTTTTTTCCGAGATTGTTTCACTAATGATTTGCCTTCTCCCACCCGTTTCCCTGATGAGTCTAAAGAGTTGCCTAGTGTTGCCTATCGTCGAAGCTTTTTCCATCTCTTTCGCCTTTGTCACCCACCACTGTTCACGGTCCTTGCGGACACTTTTCGTAAGTTTCCTCTTGTGCAGCTTTCGCTCCTTATTGAATTAGGAGCTCGCCGGAATAAGTCTTCTAGCATCTATCAGTTCGGATGAGGCGGTAGAGATCCAGTGGTTTTTACTCACCTTTGGGTTTACCTTATTCAAAGGCTTTTACAGCTGTATCTATGGCTGACTGAATATTCTTCCAAGCTTCTTCAGGGTGAGCACAGCTGTCGAACACAGATATGTGTTTAGCTAGTTCTTCCTGAAATACGGATTTAGTTTCCTGATCGAGCTGGGGACGTGATGGTTTTACCGCCAGCTGTTTCCCAGGTCTGTTCAGTCGTAAGCACACCCGAGCGCAGACCAGTGCGTGATCGGTATCCACACACGTGTTCCAGAAGGAGCGACAATCCTCTACCGACCCACGATCAAACGTAGGACGAAAACTATTAATGGTATACCGTATGAGCAGTACTAGAGAAGCGGCCGAATCAGGCAAAACAAAAGACGAAAAGTTCTCGGAATCTGTCTGTCTGTTTTCGACATAGAACTTTGCACAAATGTGCGGAAGTTCAAGTCGCCACATTCCGTGTAGCACGCGAAGCAAGAGAAGAAAGTACAAGAAAAGCAGAATAGAAACAGTGAGCAGAGGTGTGAGACAAAGGAGTAATAAAGAAATACAAAACAGTTTCATTGAAGATCATAAGTCACAGGGAGTGGATGCATCTGAGCCACTGAGAACGGTTTTGAGCCATGTCACCAATTGTTTCCAACCATAGATTTTTACCGTCCCGAGGACCCCAGCCTGGAAGTCCACACCTTTCTACGTGGCTTAGACCAACTGTTGTGGATTTCATTGACTGATGCCAAGTTTTTGTTTGACCGCCGCTAGCTTTTTTCCAGCCTGACCCTATATCCGCTAACATAGCTCGTCGAGGGAGGCGATGACTTGGCATACGTAACACATGTCCTAACCATCTCAGTCGATGTAGCTTCACGACTTCGTCGATTGATTTCCCCTGTTTACCTAGAACTCTACGCCTAACCTCCATGTTGCTCACCTTATTATGCCACTTTACACGGGAGATAGAACGCAGGCACCTATGATCAAAGACAGCTAATCTTTTCATGTCTTCCACTCTCAGTGACCAGGTCTCACAACCATAAAGGAGGACGGAGCGGACTGATGAGCAGTACACCCGCCCTTTGGTCGATAGTCGAACATCTCGTCTACGCCAGAGTCGGCGTAAACTAACAAATGCGAAACGAGCCCCTTGTATTCGTGCTGAGATTTCGTCAGAGATCAGCCCGTTGGGGCTGATGGTACTTCCCAAATAAGTGAAGCGGTCAACGTGCTCTACCACTTCACTTCCTATTTTTAAATTAGGCGTCGATGTAGTCCAGTCCTGTAACATCATCTTGCATTTGGCGGGAGCGAATCGCATGCCAAACATTCGTAGATTGCGGCTCAAGGTGTTTAGAAGACTCTGCATTTCGTCAGCGTCTCGGAATACTTTTTAAGTCTTTTTGTCTAATCGTACCACTCAGGGGTGTAGCGAGGTCACTGCTGTAGCCACTAAAATGCCCCCAGCTGTGATAGAGGATGCAGTAGTTCTCAAACTACTGTCTGAACTGAAGCCAGGTAAATCATCTGGACCTGAAGGACATCACTTTAGTCTGCTAATGTCCTTGGCGGAATTTTCTAAATATCGTTGACCCAGAGACTGGGAAGATGCAATTATAAGCCCCATCTTCAAAGATGAGGACAGGCAGTTGGTATCTAACTAACGACTTGTAAGTCTGACATGCAATGTAGCAAAGGCATCAGAAACAATCATATGGTGTCAGCTCTTAACTCATATGGCTTACTGGCAGTGGGGCAGCGTGGATTCCGACGTGGACGATCCTGCCTGACAAACATACTGTAAGTTATGGAAGAATGGGTCGAAGCCAGGAATAAAAGCCTTCTATTGTAAGTTATCTTTATCAATTTTAGTAAAGCATCTGATAAGGTATGCCATTTAGCTCATTAGTAAACTAAAAGGTTTTGGATGAGACCAGCGCTCATGTGAGTGGTTTAGGGACCACCTGATGGATAGAAGGCAGACGGTATGGGTTAGTGGTGTACTATCAGGGTGGAAAGCAAAACTGAGTTAAGCACCTAAGCGAACTGTGCTTGGCCTCCTGCAATTGCTGTTACACGTAAATGAATCACTGAAAATTCTTACCTCATCTTCCTTATTATTTGCGGACACTAAGATGTGGAATACTGCAATTAATGATGGCTTGAAATCACAAAACGACATAGAAAAATTAGCTGAACGGGCTAACCTCTGGAGTCTGCAAATTAATTCCACGAAAGGCACGTTAATGAACCTAGGTCAGAAGTCTTACACATTGTATTCCCTGAGGGTCACAGAGCTGCCACATGTTAAGGGGGAAAAGGACTCAAGGATTATTGTAAGACATGACTTAAAAACAATGGCACATTGTAGTGCAGCTGCAGCTATGGCTTTTTGAATGCGATGGGCAGTTCGAATGGTTTTCAAACGATTAGACGAGGGTATGTTCCAAGTATTCTATGCAACATGTCAGACCTCATCTAAAATACTGCATACAAGCAGTGAGTCCATGCTTCAAAAAGGAGGCATATATCCTGTAAAGAGAGTAGGAACCAAACTTGTTAATGCTATCTCACACCTTCCTTATGATAACAGGATGGAGCATGTAATCTTCCCATTATCATACCGAAGGAGAAGAGGCGACTTAATTTTGGCGCACCGCATATTAAAGGGTGATTTAGGGATTAACTATTCTAATATCTTCCCTCCCTCTGGAATACATTCAAGAGGTCACCACAAAAAGGTGCTGAAACTGAAGTCGAATAAGACACGTGGAATTTAGATTCTCACACAGTGGTCAAGCAACCACTGGAACTCCTTACCTGAATCAATAATAACAGCTCTATTGCTGAACGCTTTGAAAAAGAAGTTAGATCTCTGCAGATATATACTACAAGGATTAACATAGGCAACAAGAGCCTTCCATCCTTATTATATGAATCTGTTTGGGGCAGACTACGGGCACACCGCAGAATCTCTAAGGTAAACTGCAGATAACTGTCCCACGTTTTGCAGTGCATCCGAAGTTTTTTGCCCCCAAAATTCTGCAGCAAGCTCAGTGAAAATGCTAGCTAATATTTGTTAACGTGTGCAGAATTTCGATCCGCATGCTTAACTACCCCCTCGCTTTATGTAGTTAACCGAAAGTCTAACTCAGATCATGGTGATTTTTAAGCGCCTCAGTCGTTGTTTATAATATTTGCATCAAAACTACCATTAACCGTCAAAAACTAACCAGTTCTTCGTGTAACCTTGGTCGAAGATTCTAGAATAGTGGTCATGTGACCTTCCCAAAGCAATATTCAATATCCAATATCCGTGTAGCGAGCCAGTATAAGCGAAACTATATTTATCGGGCTTTCCTTTTGCTTTTCATACAAAATTCCCTGATCTTCGAAATACTTCTGTGCAGTTTTCCCAGCCATATGACTGCTACGGCTTTGGCTGACTCTGATGGGAATGATGTGGAAACTGCTTATATTTGGTTTGCAGTGTGTGGTGCGTTAAAACCGTGTTGCTGCTGTGAATGAACCTGGTGCTTTCAATCGCTATTTTTCAGTCACTATGAAGCTCTTGCAATATACTTGTTGATAAACAAAAGCATGTTAAATTTCAAGCTTATATTCACATCATTGATGAACTTGCAAAATAATGACGTCCCTAAAAAATTTTTAAAATATCCCATCGGGAGATCCTCCATACAGAATATATGCCATTCGTTTTCCTACGAAGTTGCCTATCTTTCGAGAATGTTTCAAACCCAGAAACCAATAGATTGAGATTATCGAATGAGAACTTTAACTGACTCAGAACATTTTAGCATGATATGGGAATAGTGCATGGTTTGATATTTTTCTACCTTTGCTCGCAATCCAGATGTCCAGTGCTGTTGCCAGTTAAGAGGTAGACTACTGTTCTTTCTGAAGTCATTCTGAGCTTCACACATATACTCCACGGCAGGTCATCCATAAGCTCCTCCGCTATCTTCAAGAACTCAACGCTACCGGACAAACGTACTTAAGATTTTGAATGCCACTAACATTAAGATGGATAGAACAACACGGTTTGAGCCTTACGAAAAATGCTACATATCCTGGCATTGTTCCTAAACACTGCAGAAATGCAATGTACAATGCCTCAGTGCAATGCTTAAGAAGAGTTCTTGTGTAGTCGAAACTAATGATTTTTTCACATGGTTTTCGCTACTTTTACTTAAATAAAAAGAAGTAGCCTTCAGGATTTACGACTGTGTGGCGGCATGTCTAAATAGCCCTATTTCGTTCTTCATAAAATTGTGCGATCCGTGCAACAAATACCCGAAAAAGTTCCGGCTACGTCTTCGCTGCTAAAGCCTTCTCGTTTGGAATTCAAAAAGTTAGTCTTTTCGGGTGTTACTAAGCCACTTCGCTTTGAAGTGTCAGATTGTTTATCCGTTCAGAATGGGTCAGACTGCGGACAATGAGGTTTTCGAACGATGAGATTAGGGCTGCAGCGTCGTGGTGTGGTTGTGTACCTGTACCACTGGTAAATATATCCGTGAACAGCCGTATGTTACATCCTTCCCCATTTGGACAGTGTTATTAATAGCCTCGTCACTAGGATAGGTGGGCCGGGCTAAAGATTCAGCAGTTGAGGTGACTAAATCTCTGGTCTAACAGAATAGATAGCCTTACAACAATCATGAGAACCGTTTCGAGTTGAAACCAACCGGAAACGAGCTGCAAGTCGTTCAGGCAGTGTAGTTAACTAGATTTTAGGTTCTTACAACCAACTATCTTATGTGTTATGAACGATAAAGTGTGCTAGAAACGTCCCCAGTAAATATTACTGTATAACACTGCGAGACTAATCAAAACAAATCTTATCGACAATGGGATTAAACTAGTTCATTTACATCTATCTATAAACGTTTCATGATTAACTCGTAGTCGTTTGCAAGCCTTGTCTATAAAGATTTTTCTAAACCACTGTTATGTTTCATCTCATATTCGAAAGTTTGTGCCATGCTTATCTGATACATTTTCCTGAACAGAACAGTAGTCTTTCACTTCTTCAACATTCTATTACCAACATAATTTATTTGGAGCTATTTGGTTTTACTTTTGGATTTTAGTTAATGACTGCTAGCCCGTTTCTTTAGAGAGCTATTCATGAAGTGGCTGTAACAATCATTACACCCAAAAACAGACAGAATGGGAGAGCAAAACAAACTTCCGTTACCCTGATTATTATTATTATTATTGAGGCTCATACCACTCAACATAAGGGACTTATTCAAAATTTTCCACACACATGTTCACCCAGCGTTCTCAAAAAGTTCACAGACTTGCCATGAGCGCCACGAAAACCATTTTCAACAGGTTATTGACTTTCGTTGCAAGCCGCTTTTGCTTCACACTGATGGTTAGATGCCCAGAAAGGATAAACTACGACAAATTGAAGCAAAGAAGCAACATAGGACGGACTGTCCAACAAATACACGGAATGTGGAATGGATGTGTGGCGCGGAGACGACTGGGTAAAGCTACACGAAGACCATAGGGTAAAGCCCGAACGAGGGACGAAGAAAATGACGTGGAGGCGGTCCTGTAGAGAGGGGGCGGAAGCTTTCGGACATTTATGGAACCGGCAGAACGACAGATAGCCGCGTGAAATAGAAATTTTCTGCAAAGTTCATATGTTGCATCCCGAATCTTAGGGATGGACAGTGCTATTCACTAACTTGATCATATGAAGAGTCAGAGAACTCCAAAATCACTACAAAATTTCTTTTGGTATTGTGACGAGGGTTTGAAAAAATCGAAAGTGACTGCAACTTCATACTTCCTGCTGTCATTATGCAACAGTTTCGTCTATACCCAGTATTAGCGCTTGGGTCAAGGGACAATCAGAATTCTATCAGATTTTCATCATGGGATGAGAGTTTGCGGACTGAGGCCCAGCTTTTTCACTGCTGAGATCTCTGGTTTTACTATAGGAACACTCAGTGACTTCCCGCAAGAAACAGGCATTTTGAGAGAAGTACGTTGGATGCAGAATGTTTGAGTTAGGATACGTTTAATGGTTTACTTTTGCCTTTGAAACTCATACGTCATATTTTCTACTGAGAATTCGGCTTCCCAAATAATCGCGCTCTGCCGCACCACGACTCCATACTAGTTATTTTGAAGTGCCACCTTTGTCTCAAGGCACTTTGTTGTTTCTTGCAGAGAAGAAGATTAACGCGGCTAATGCTCTGTGTCTGGTAACATTACTGGTTAGTATGGCTCGACGCCTCTGGACACTCAAGAGTCGCCTCATTGGCTTTAAAAACCAAATTTTCCGTAGAAGTAATTGCCAACCGACAGCTCGTTACATCGTAGAAGACGAATGGTGTCTTTGACCATTTGTCCTCGAAACCACTGCAGACAGTAAGTAAAGCGAGGAAAACCTGGTTAAGTATACGGAAGGGCATTCGTCATCTTATAGGTAGGGGTAAAGACAACTCATTAAGGTGTAATTCCTTTTGGTCACCACTCCGTCCCTCCGTCTTGTTTTGTTACTGACTACACCTGGGTGACCACAGCTTACCGCTTTTTAGAGGCCCTACAGGTGCACCCAAATTAGGAAAGTGATGGAGAGAGAACCTGAAAGTTATGGCCGCCTCAACGCTTTTTCGTCTGGCCCGTATAAATAACCAGGGCCATTGCTGCCACTGTGCGCCTACTGCGGCTTCGAGTCTCTAAATTTCAATCTCCCTCTAGATTGCATGAATTTGACTTCACCTAATGATCAAAGGGGGCATTTAAAGTGAACCAGAATATTTGTGGCGCCACATGATCTGCTGGTAACGCTGATAACACCAAAAACATTTTTTAACCTGCCGGGCGATATTGCAGTATTTGTGACTTGGTGTTAGGAACACTTGGTGTCCCAACACCACCCAGATGTCGAAGTGAAAATATGACACCTCCGTAAGAAGGTGTACTTGGGAAAGTGCCTCATACAACCTTCCTATGTCGTTTAAAGTTGGTAGCATTTGACAGCTGAAAAATTGATTGCTCCATCTATTCACCCTGAGCCACTGGTCAAGCAGTGTCACAGATTAATCAGTCTATACAATCTTTTGGAGTGGTAGTGACATCTTTATACTGTCTGCCAGTTGTCTGCTTCAGTGCTGTCTTCAAATTCCTACAACAGCTGGTAAGTTAGGATTATTCAGGCTTATTGAGCAAGAAAACGATGGTGTAGTACAATTCAACGAAACCTGCATGCACTTCAAGACAACTTATTCACACGAAGTACACTCATGGGAAATTTCTCCTTCTACTTGTCTTTTGCTTTTACCGATTTACCCTTATCCTCTTAGCATGACGCTATCATGGAACCATAATGAAGAACAACACTGTCTTGCTACATAAATAGTGGGCTGGAAAGTGTAGGACAGAGAGGTTGTAACGATTAATTACGCAGCATCTAACTTGGCGAACGAGCCCGTATCTGAAAACGTATCGTTAAGGCTCTTTATGAATGAATTCGCTACCACATAGTAAAACCCTGTTCCTAGTCAGTAGTTCTCAAACTGCACTTTACCGGAAACTTACTGTTACGTCTAATATTTTCACCTTTAAACGCTAGAGTTGTACTTCATATACCAGTCTGCATTCCGTGTTGACTCGACTGTTTGTGCTTCACTGGTGTTTTGAAAATTCCCTAAGAATATCTATCCGATTAACCTATCTTCCACGGCTAAATACATGGTTTTCCATTGAGTGAACAGGTTCTTCATTGATGAGGTTAAGCCTGTGCTTTTGGGAGCTGATGATGTGTTCACGCTCACTGGTAGTACGATGCATACTAACGCCAAGATCTTACGCCCACAACTACAGTGTTTTTTCATTCATGGACTGAAAGCAAATCAAAACATCACACTGATCGTCCAAAATACGAAACATATTTCAGGACAAAAGTGGTAGTACGAGGAGTTTTGTATACGATATGAAGCCGACAAAAATGAACCTGACTAATTCTCCAGATTTTATAGGTAGTTATGTAAACGAGCTTATATGCTGAATTCCGGGCCATGGACACTATAAGTCTCACTCTAATAACTAAGATTAATTAGTCTTTCAGATTAAGCCACCGAGAGGAAGGGGTAGCCTATACATTGAAGCAGGTAATTTCGTCAGCTGATAAACTCAATTTACGCCCCGTGATGGCGCCTAAAATTATGAAAAGTCATCATCTCACTACACATCTGTCAATGTAGTTGAAGATTGAACGATCAATTCATGGTTGTTTGCTCAAAACCAACTTCCCAAATTTTCGCGGAGGCATCAATACGACAGTCATCGTCTCATCGGTCGCTGTTCAGAAAGAAGTCAGTAGAAAACCGTCAGAAACCTTAGTTGTAACAGTGTTTATATGTTGGTGGCACAATAAAGAATCCTCGAGTCGCCAACTGGTGTTTTTGTTTTTGCGTCCGTTATTACTGGGCGTTTCTGAGAAACTTCAAGGAACAGCGTGAGCCCGAGCGTAGCAAGAGCTGGGCATTGACGGTTTACGAGACGTGGCTGACAACATCTATGCACAGACTCTGTTGAAAAAGTGAATGGAAAGCACTGGCATAAGCAATACTAGCCAGAAAATTTTCTTATACGGACTTTTTTAAGTAATGTACAGGAACTGTGGTAATATCCGTTACAAAGCCTCAGGAATGTTAACCTACGCCACTGCGCAACTTAATGATTTCTACTTCAGTTGATGGAATCATGTACCTGATAACTTGCCAAATCGGACGAAAAAGGGGGACCTTGTGAGTCAAGGAACTTATCCCTAAGTTCCTATTGTTACGAAGACGCTCCGCACCGATAAATACTATGTACTTTCTTCGACTTTAACTCCAAACCACCAGCATTGCAAGAAGGGAGTTATATTGTTCGGCAATTAAAGCGGAGAATAATACAAGTCTATAAACAAGTGTTTTATACAAAATTTTTATGTACTTTTATTCGTTTTCGTTCGTCTTCGTCGAACTTGTACACGATCGAACAATTCGTGTCTTTGAGTTGCCTACCAGTGGCTACCAGTTCCAAAAGCAAACGTTCAGTGTTCATGTGTATTGACAGTGCGTCTGAAAGGTCAACAAAAGGAATGCTCAAAGAAGCGAACGAGGGAAATAAAGGAGGTTTTGTCAAGAATTCCCTACTCTTCTCAGATGACGAATTATGCCTCCTTCATAGCCACTATTGACACGCTTTCCTCCCCATTATGTCCGCTTTTTCCCCCCTCATATCATAAGAATTCCTCCTTTTAAATTCAAATAATCGCATCCTCTCTCCCTTAAATTAGCAAAAATTTTAAAGTTAAATAATCCCAAACCATTCTGGAGAATTGTTTTTACTCTTTTTTACTAACCAAATGAAATCATCCAAATATAAATTTTCTATTACGATCAATTATTTTAATGGCGGTGGTTATATTCGCTTCTACCACAATTATTTTCCTGGTTACATGTGTTTCAGTTAGCTGAAAGGCTAATTTAGGAGGAGGAAGTGCATTACCATTCCTAAGAGCCCTGTCCAGTGAGTGGGGTTAGAGTGAAATGTCAATACATCTTTCACCTGTCGATGCAAACATCCTGTAAAACAATGAGTTTTAGGACGTACCTTGTTCAAGGGATTTTGTGTGATTCGAAGAACTTTGGCAAATTATTGAAAAGCTCTGACACGAATTGAAGTAACCTCCCGTTGAGAGTGATTGGCACTGGACGCTGCTGCTGTTGTTGTTGGTTGGTTATTTACATAACCTCCGTCTTGTCTATGTTCACCTGTCTTCATCGGCTGCTTCTTCGACCAATTTGTCGGTTTTCGCTTGTAAGTCTTCGATTTTGTGTGACATCAAGCATAAATAATCCACGAGCAAAATCCAGGTCTTCTAGGTTCTTCGCGTCGGTCCAGGATATCCCTGTCTTCTCATTTCTCACTGTCTGACGCATAATTCAGTCCACCACAATTAGGAATATCACCGTGGGCGATAATAAGCACCCTTGTCTGACATCAGTGTTTACTCCAAACGCCTCGCTGAGTTTTCCGTTGTGGATCACTTGACATGTGCCGTTGTCGTACAACTAATGAATACAGGGTTGATGAATATTTGAGGTACACCGTACTACTCGAGTATTTTCCAGATTACTTCGTGGTCAACGCTGTCGAAGACCTTCTCAAAGTCTATAAAGTTGAGGTAGAGGTTTGATTGCCATTCCATGCTTTGTTCGATGATGATGCGTAGAGTTGCAATTTGGTTAGTACATGATTTGCCTTTCCTGAATCCAGCTTGTTCTGATCAGAATTCTGTATCCAGTGCGTCCTTTAGTCTCTCCAGAATGATGCGGCTTAGAATTTTACTTGGCGTCGACAGGAACATGATTCCTCGCCAGTTCTTGCAGAGTCCTAAATCTCCCTTCTTTGGTAGTTTCACGAGGTAACTTTTCCTCCAGTCAAGAGTCACTTTTCCCTCCTTCCAGACCTTTTGCAATAATGGAGTCAGCATGTCTGCTGTCGTCTCTGCGTCCGCTTTCAGTGCTTCAGGGGGTATTCCATCTGGTCCAGCTGCTTTTCCAGCCTTCAGAAGCTTGATTGCATTCAAGACTTCAGCTCTCGTTGGAGGATTGGTGTCAACTTGCAGTTGTGTACGTGCTGTTGTTGGTATTTCTGGACGGGTTGCAGGTGATGGTCGGTTCAAGAGTCCTT